TTGTTTTAGTTGAAACAGAATATTTACATGCATAAAACATATTTTTTGGACTATTTCCTGAATAAAATGTGCTGCGAGGCAGACAAAAAAAATTTTTGATTTAATCGTGTCCAACCAAACACAAATAATCGAAAACCAGTTACCAAAGACATACTTAAAATTTCATACTATACCAACACATTTTCGTTGTTACCTGAATTTTAACTAATTGATCGAACGGTAAGATGAAACCCTTCCAATTCTCTACGATTTTAATGAATACAGAAAATAATTAATAATAAACTTCCTTGGAAAATACACAGGTAGATACATACTGTGGGTCTATTTTTCATAGCTAACAAGTAATTTTAGACCCTTTTTGACCATCGCTTACTAATAGGTATTGGTACCTACAAATCGAGGTTTAGGCCATAAAGTTATTGTAAACCAAGTAGAATACAATTACTTTATGGCCCTAATCCTCGATTTTTGCTATCAACAGCAATGAAATAGACTATACCAAATTTTAAATCAATACCTAATCCAAATGCAAATTATCTTGTTCACAGACACACACGTTAAGGTTAAGAGTTTAATAAGGTCTTACCTGATGGGTTCTTTAACCCAGTTGAGAGGCCATCTAAGAAGGCTTGCCTTGAAGAACCTACGGATTCATCAACCCAAATTTTAGACTTAGTGTGGCCTGCGTTCACCCACGTTTCATCCAGGTAGTAAATTTTCCTATTTTCTCTTCTATAGGCCCGTATTTTCGTTAAATAATCTCGTCTCCACAATACAATTTCTGGTTTCTCGAGCAACAAACTATTTCTCCCTCTTTTTTTAAATTTAAAACTTAATTCTTTCAACAACTTGTGGAATGTCGACCTTTTGAAATCTGGTAGATCAGGATCATCATTCACATCTTTGAGAATTGAATCTATTGTTGGCATTTGGTTCCGGAAAAAAAATTGATGTACTTTCCTTCTGATAGCGTTTTTATCAAAATCGTCTACCTTGTCAATAATTTTCTTTCGTAAGGGGTATGGCTTTGAATCCGAAAATAATTGCTTTTGTTTAGATTCTCTCATAACGGCATAAACACCAATTGGAGACACTCCAGCAATGTTTCCTACTTTTCGCACGATTTCATCAACTAACAATTCGGGATTTGCTTCGACTTCATTTTTGTAAATGTTCATAATTAAATTTTTTTCCTTACTATTGAAAGGCACTTTTTTTGGTCTCTTTTGAGGTGGAATGTTGAAACACATATTAGCAGCTTCTTCATCCGACATTTTAATAATTTAAAACTTTAAAACTAATAAAAAAAATCACTACTAAATATCCCGTAAAATGTAACACCACCGATCGTTAAAACGTAAATGACCATTCCGACCCTGTAACGATTAGGCCAAAAGCAATAAGTTCCCCTACCTTGGAAGTCCCCTACAGATTGCAGGTAAATCCGATTGGCCAGCGTGAGGGGTTTGTTTATTTTAGCCCAATAGATGCAAAGCCACGTGCCGATCATGCTTCGATCACGCACGGAATGTGTTTTGGCCCGCTTTTTTGGTTCCATGGATATAGTATACCTATCTTCAACTGTTTCGGAAATATTGACAGTTGAAAATTGACTTTTTTGCAACTTTGACAGGCTGTAAAACCTTAACGGTTAATTTTAGAGGAAAGCCGATTTCACATTCCTTAGATTTTCATAAGCTATCATTTGACACTAACTTTGAATTTAATCCATGATTAAAAATTCCAGTTAAATTCAATCTCCAGTTAAATTCAAAGTTAGTGTCAAATGATAGTTTATGAAAATCTAAGACAGGAATGTAAAACTGGTTTTTCTCTAAAATTAGCCGTTTAGGTTTTACAGTCTGTCAAAAAAGTCAATTTTCAACTGTCAATATTTCCGAAACAGTTGAAGATAGGTATATAACATTGTACATGAAATATGTGTAGAATTTTCAGCAGAATCCAGAAATGTCATAATATACAGGGGCTACCATTTGGAAAAATAAAGTTGATAACCGTACAGGTGTTCTTGGAACACCCTGTATAAAAAAATTAGTATGGAAAAATTTCAAAAAAAAAATCTTGATCAACGTGTTTTTGCGTTTTGTCCACATATTTTATCCGAAGGCTCTAGCGAATTAGTTCCAGTTAAAGTCCCCACCCTGTATTTTTCTCAACGTGTGAATCTTATTCAAACCTGATTCTCTAAAGTTGACGTGCTTACTTTCGCTCATGTTGCACTGACGAGAGCTAACAAGCTCGAAACCGAGCCGCAATGGTTTTTTCCATTACCTATCTTAAAGCAAAACCAGACGTATTTCGTGAATCTGACCATGTCAGAGCAATACAAACTCATTGTATCAGTATCAGCCGTGAGCTGAAGCCTTTTCTATCCGGATAAAATATTCCCAAGATGGCGGTTTGATGTCAAATTGCCTATTTCAAATGAGACACTATTATTTAAAATATTTCATGAACGGTTAGATTTAGGTATAGGTTATTAATTATAAAATAAAAGCGTGATTCCACTGACTCACTCACTCACTCAATTCATTCACCTACCTACTCATCACGAGATCTCCAAAACGATTGACTCGAAATTTTGAATATGTACTCCATTCTCCACTTAGGTACTCACTATAAGAACGGATTTTATGGAACTTTTTCATACAAAATAAATAAATCTTCAACAAATTCGAATGACAAAATCCAGACATAGCATAGTAATTAATACGTTCTCTGTCGGGTCGGTCAAAATGACCGAAACGAGTTCTGAAAAATCACGCGGCATTGGTCTATGTCCGAAAAATTTATCGATTCTATTTTTGCTTCCAGGGGTGCGATTTTCGAAACCATTCGAGTGCATTTCGTTCACGAAATTTGACTGAAAGCAATGTAAATTAAATAGGAAGCATTCGAAATCGTTCCAAATTTCGTATGCGAGAATATTCGAAAATACGACCCCTGAGCGCCATCGGTCCTAAGCTGTACGGTGCTGTGTATACGGCGTGACCGAAGTAGCTTGGTGAGCAAATGGCACATAAACTTCCTAATTTTTTTTCTAGATTTTTTCCTACATTGTTTTTTTTAAAATTAGGTAGCTAAACACGTTAATCTTACTGAAAACATTTATTTATAAAAATAAAAGTGAAGACATGAACTGTGTGGAAAAATAACAGAAGAGCTAAGATATAGAAGTTATGACATGAATACTAACACATGCTAACACAGAACCGAAGTCATAACATAACCGACGCCGCGTACAACGGTCAATTCGGTCAAATTAAACCCTCCACGCAGCGTGGGTCATTTTGACCGAAAGTTCAAAATAATTATTTGTTTGAAACTCGTACGCGAAATGTTTTTGGTAATCTCGAACCTCTCGTTCATCAAAATGACATTTTGCGCACTAGATACAAAAATAACTATTTTTTACGAGTGATCGCAGAGAAGCTAGGTACTTTGCGCACATTTTTGCATACGCAAAGAAACCCTTTCCCTAACACCGAAACGTTTCACGTTGCATTGGAGGATGTTTGTTAAACTAGAAAGTCCAGAATGGGCTTAAAGATGAATGTGGAAGAAATAAAAGTGATCACAAATGTGGCCGAAAAAGAAAGAAAAGTCAACTTTGCATAATGTTTCTTTGGAAAACATCCACCTAGGACAGATACTGAAACTTTAAAAAGGAATCAAACAATGGAAACTGCACGAAGAACCAAAGTAGATTTTATCGATCTTTCATGATTCCTGAAGAATCAAAAAAATTCACTTCACCTGATAATTATAGTGTATAACCAATATGTTTCACCTGTGTAATATATCATTGTCCGACATTTGAAAAGAACAGTGTTGGTAAACTATTTAGGATTGGAAGGACTATAGAGGGGATAATGCTGAAAATAAGGACTCCACCAAAAATAAGAAAAACGTGAATCAGGGTCGAGGACGTGGCATCAAAAGTAACAGATCTAAACTAGAGATTAGAGAATAAAAACTCAGCAATAATACTATGAAAGCTGAGCTCAGACCGGGGATAAGTCCAGAAAGATGAGATGGATCGACCGACGTCCTAGGCTCAAATTATTAGCAGGATTAAAAACTGAAGGCACGTGGCTCAAAATAGAGTTCGCTCTTCGCTGGCGAGAATTGGGATAGGCCTCTATCCAAATATAGATAGTAGACTGAAGAAGAACGAGAGGACACTACTCAAATTTGACATAAAAAAGTTTCCCATATGACAATATTTGATATTTTTGACTTGCTTGGTCGATTTTTCGTTATAGTAATCCCAGTTTTCGAACAATTGATGGTATAGTAGGGGATACGAGGCCTATTTCATCCAATTATTTTAGACCGTCTTGCACTGTTGTCATCAGTTAGATAACATGATGCTGAAACACACTTGCGCAAGGAACTAAATGGGAGTGGAGGACTTGGCTGATAAAAATGTTTGAGAAAATGTCGTCATAAACGAGGAAAATAATTAATTATACACCGTCTTGCATTCACTGCGGTTCAACATCATGTTATCTAACTGATAACTGCAAGACGGTGTGAAATGATTCATCCAGAATATATTATATTCTGGATGAATATAAGTAGGTAATGGATTTTCTGTCTTGTGTTTGTAGTCCTAGTACTTCTAATTCTAGTTTTATGTGAGCGGATTTTGCTTTTGTTCCCATGTTTTTATCTTTTTTTTTTCTCAGAATTGCACTAAGACAGAATACTGAAGTTTCTGCCTAACATCTCTTTTCAAAGTTTACAAAAACCTACAGGGTTTTTTTCGTAATACCTTTGACAGATAAAAACACAGACCATGGATGGAATTGATAATGAATCAAAAAATATTAAAATTATTGAAATTACACTTATCGGACGAAAAAACAGCTAACAGGATTATAATAAGCTGGTTTAGAGACATTTTTTTTTTAGGTTTAAAATTGTTGTACCTTGAAATTTTTGATCCTATTTTTCGTAATTACTAATTTTTTCAGGTGAGAGACCCTACAAATGCCGTTTTTGTTGGAAAGCTTTTGCAGACGGAGGAACTTTGCGCAAACACGAAAGAATCCATACTGGCGAAAGACCCTATGCTTGTGCAGTATGCCCGAAAGCATTCAACCAAAGGGTAGTTCTTAGAGAACATATAAGGTACCAACGCAACAAGAAAATTGTTATACAAAAAAAAAAAACTGAATCATGTTTACAAATTCTAGGTCGCATCATTCAGATCCCGATCCAAAATTCTTGCGCAGCACGACACCCTATTTTTGTGCCGTTTGCTCCGACATGTTTACCATATCCGAAGATTTGATACTTCATTTGATTCATCATTGTGATATTACCACTGCTATGAACAGACAACCACGAGTGGGACCCAGGAGATATAAACGGCGGTAAGTCAAATTATATCGGTAGTTTGTTCAAATTAGTAATCGTTATTTCGTGGGATATTTTAGAAGAATGGTGAAACCTTTTGAACCTGAGAAGTTTATTATAATAAATGAAAGAGAAGCAATGGATGAAGAAGAAGAGTATGTTATCCCAGAGCCAGAAGAAAAAGTAGCGGAAGGATCTAGTTCTTCACAATCAAATAAGTAATTGAGCAAGAAAATTGATAGGTTTTTTTTTTCATGAAAATATAAATATTTTACAGTGTAAATGAGGTGGTGGAACAAAGTGAAAACGAAAACGCGCCAACTAATTTATGTCCAAAAATGATATACACGCAAAAGACTAGAGTCCCAGTTGAGACCAGGGTTGATGTACAAATTAGAGACAAAGCTGTGGTGATCAAGGCGCAGCCTGCGATAATTAAAACCTCTACAGGTAGGGTGAAATCTAGATATAATCTAGATCAATGATACCTAGGGAAAGAAATAAGTTAATATACCTATAACAACCTCAGGGCATTATAGGCGGGCGTTATGATCTATAACGCCGCTTATAATGCTCTGAGGTTATTTCGTTTCCTAGGTACAGGTATAGTATAGATACATGTCAAAATACAATACAATATTCTATGATACAAGTTTAACTCCGAACAATTTTGATTGCGTTTTGAATATGACCTAGCATATCATTATCATAAATTAAGAAATTTTATGTCTGAACAGCGATGAATAATCAAGTTGGCAGGCCGAGAGCATACATGACAAAACCAAACCTATGGCAGTTTCAAATAGAAAAATATTGAAAGTTGAGACCTCATTCTAATGCCGTAAAATGTAAAATATTGATTTTAGCCTATCCGTTTTATAATTAAAGCTTTGGAGTTATAACCTCAAACACATTACAAAAATGCACTTTAGATTATGAAACTGAATAAATGGGCAATAAACAATAAAATTGTTACAGTCCACTAATATTAGTATTTTATATTAATTTAAAACATGAAATAATAAAATTTCTAGAAAGCAGTGTCAGTGTCAGATTGGATGAACAAGAACAATTGAAAATAATACGAAATGATACCGTTTATGATGAACCACAGCAATCCAGTCTACTATATATCAATGAAGTTATAATTGATGGTAAGTGCACGATCTAAGCTTTGTTTCACGAGGGTTCATACTTTTTGCCTTTCTTTTTTAATCAATAGAAAATGACTGAAACAAATTTATGGCGTCAAAAACGTTCGTCGGCTCTTAAACCAGAAGTTCATTTTAATTAGTCAAAAAAATTGAATGTGTCATATGAATTAATGTACGATAACCCTTTTTTTCTCAAGTTATGACGCGTTTGATGTTCGATATCAAAGGTATGAACCCTGGTGAAACGATCTTTAGTTATTTTTTTTTTTTATTCAAACAATTAATTTCAGCTAGTTCAAATCAGATAATCGAAAATGAAGAAGTTATCGAGGAACCCGTTCAAGACGAAATACCAATTAAAAATTCGCCAAAGAATGGTTAGTTCTAAGGGCGAGTCCAATTATCAATAATGTACCTGGAACTCCACAATCAAACTTTGAATGTGAAATGCGCAATCCAAAAAAGACGCATTTGTGTTTTCGTGTCGGTGGATATTTTCAATATTTATTATTTTAATGTTGTTGATTAGATTAGGTTGGTTGGTTAGAGAGACTTTATATATGCATAGATATATGAAAGTTTTAGATAATAATCAAAATGTTCGATATTTGAATACCGAATATATGAAAAGATAGAGTATTCATGTATCTCGATACATATACTTACATATTATTCAATTGTTAGAAATAACGGTCATGTCTTGAATATATTTTTTTTATTTAAATAATGCTCATTCTCTATTTTTGAATGCATATAGTTGATCTAACATATCCATTGCACGTCTCAATGTGTTTACCAGCAAATTAAATATAAAAACAGTTGGTGTCATTGATGACGTATAACGGATTTAGTTTTGGATCAACCATAGGTATAATGCAATTATTTACTAGGTACCACCTACGTTAACAAATATGGTAAGGGATGTTATCTACTGTACTGGAAAAACAAATTTCAGTCGGTTGACGAAGTATATACAGGGTGTTCGGAATAACTTGAAGTACAAAGAGATTTTGGAAACTATTGAAGATACAGGGTGGACCAAATGGGGGAAAAGTTGTGCAATCAAGTGCCTACAAATAATCTGTCATCAACTTCTTTAAATTTTTAGATTGTATCTTTTATAATAAACAAGATATAAAAGATTTTATAGAACGCTCTTTTTTCTTCTTTGCCCTGTATATCCGTTGCTATTCCGAATTGAAAAAAAATGATTACAGATTTTGTCGACACTTGCGTGATTTTTTCCCCATTTGGTCCACCTTGTATCTTCAAAGGTTTCCAAAATCCCCATGTATAGGGTGGTCATTTTATCTTGATAACATTTCAAACTTCATTATTTCTTTAGTTTTGAAGTTATTTAAATAAATAAAAAACCATACTGAGCCGACAATATTAACGGGTACGTGATCGTTGCAATGGATAATTTTCACATAAAAGAATAGCTCATAGTTACCTTTAAACTAAATAGATAGGTGGCCTCGATTCTCATGGCCGCAACCCTTTGATGGCTGGGCGTAAACTACCCCTCTTTTTCCGAAGGAACAATGTTATCGTTGCAATAGCTGAAAATTGGTAGATATATTCTTTAATATGTCTTCTCAAATAATATATAGGGTGGCCTCGATTTTGATGGCCGGCAATGATGACAACCCTCATTGAAAGTCGGGGGCACGCGTTATTTTGCTTGCTAAATACAAATTTTTGAAAGTGACAGCCTTCAAAGTCACTTTCATAGTTAAAAGAGGACTTTGTGAAGAGAATTTTGCATACAGCTGTAAATCTTTAGACAAAAAAAGAAACATGAAATTGTGTTAATAAAGTGTTTGCCGCATATGATGAGAACCCCCTACACCGCAAAGTACTTCTTATTTGTTGCGCTTATGGTTCTTGAAGTATCTTTTTATAAAACAACTTTACGGCCATGAGAATCGAGGCAACCCATCCATTTGGTTTAAAGGTTACTATGAACTATTGTTTTATGTAGAAATTATCCATTGCAACGATCACATACCCGTTAGTATTGCCGACTCTTGGACTAGTAGGGTTGTTTTCCCAGTTTTAGAAAGGGTGGACAAAAGACTAATATTTGACAGTTATGCACAAAAATAAATTTTTAGTTTGTTTGATGATGTGTTTCATTCTAATTGCAACATATACAATACAATACAATTGAATACAATTTACTTTATATTTACATGCAGAAATGTTCTTTATCTTTTCTAATGGAAAATTTTGTGTACCTACCTACCTTCAGGGCCGCAACTAGGGGGTGGCGAACTAGGCGCCCGCCTAGGGCGCCGGAGTATCGGGGCGCCGAAGGCGTCAAATTTAATCCATCCATATTTTACAATCCAAAAAAAAATGCAACGGTTTTCCGCGTCATTTGTCGTAGCACGGAAATTTATTTTGCTTATGTTACATCTCTCTTTGTCAACCATCAACAATACGAATATCGATAGAAATCATATAAATTATAACCGAATTTTCGCAACGAATGTAGTTCATCCAATGACGAACCGAGTTTGAACGCTGGCTAAAAGCTGCGTCCATGCTTCTGTCGAACTACGTTCGACAAATTACGTCTGCTGGCGATCGGGTTAACCCGATCATAGTTTCCGTGAACAGCTTTTACTTTTACAATAGCTTCGTTCGCGATAAGCATTCTGAACTGGTTCGAAACTATTTCGCATGTGCAGTTCAAGCAATGGCGTGCGCGGATCACGAAATTCCGAACTTTTAGTTACGGTTCTGGATTCGCGAATCAACCAGAATCAGTTCGGAACCGTTTTTGAACTAGTTCTAGCGGTCCTAGGATTTTAGCAAGAACTCCAGGATTGACACATAACGTTTGTTTACGTATAGACAGTCGTTCCAAAAACTGTTCGCGATAAAATAATGCGCTTTCCATTTGTTGCACGGAGGTGCAATTTTTACATTCCATTTGACTGCACATTGTCAGTTTTTATTTTCCATTTGAAATTCAGTGCAATTATGTATGCACTCAGTGCACATTTTTTGGCACGAGCTAGGAAGGCTCGGGGAGAGCCAGTGCAGTTTGTTTTGTTTTTGTTTACAAGTACCGTATATAAAAATTTGAAAAAAATTTCTGCTAATATTTCCAAAGAAAAAGCTGTTGCACTTTTGGATTTATTATGTAGCATCAGCGAAGATGAATCCGATGACGAATTTATATTATTTGAATGAATTCTATAGCTTATATAGGTTGTTTTTAGATATACCTACATACTATTTATTGTTATTTAAAAATATTGTCTGAAGAATTACTCTATACCGGGTGTCCCACCGAAAACTGTCAATGGCCTATATCTTGCAAACAGTAATCGATAAAAAAAAAAAAAAATGAAAAACATGTTTAGAGGGTTGGACGGGGGAACCAAAACAAGGTACTTTCCAGGTCTCCCTGAATTACCCCTCCGGCCGTAGCTACTCTAATCTCAAAATCTTAAATGGCACTATGGGTCATGTGATACCTTGTTTGAAAGGTTTTTTAATTCTCTAAACGAATCTGAAAAAAAAAATTATATAGATACAAATTCAAGTTGTCACAAAATGGCGCATGCTTCGAGTTAACAACTTTGCTCTCTTGAGGAGGTGAACACTGTCAGGTACAGTGAGGGGAAAGGAGTTCAAAAAAATAAAATCTTGGAGTGGGTTCGAAATCACCCTGGGCGTCACACCGAGTGCACACCAGCCATATGTTATACATGGCTGGTGTGCACTCGGTGTGACGCCCAGGTTGATTTCGAACGCACTCTTGATGATTTCTTCAAAAATATTCATGCTGTTATTCAATGGACCTTTCTCATGCAATGAACAACAAGGATAGTTTATTAAGATTTCTGCAATAAAGAAAGAGACACATATAATGACGCGCGATACCTGTGTGGAATGACTTTCATTGGTTCCACTTGTCAAATTGTGCAATTTCGGTTATGTTTCTGTTTTTGTTTATTTTTAAACGTAAATATGACAAATATGTATTAACATTAATTAGAAAGAAAACCCACCGTTGGACAAAAATGTTTGCAGAAAACCTAATTGTGTAATTATTATTGTATTTGATTTTGATATAGAAATCGTTATTTTACGAACCCTCAAATCTCTGTCCCAACTTAAATCGTTTTGATTCGGGTTGAGAGCACGTAACTATTGTTTTTTTACAAGTTGATTGCTTGGGAAGTTGTGAAAAGAAAGGTTTGATGTCTTTTTCGCCTTATTCTGACAAGATCTCATGCAACACATTTGAATCATTGTATCATAAACAGTTTTTGTAATAATTTTCAGCAATATTGATTGACATTGATTTAGGGATGCCCAAAAAATATCGATGTTTTTTAAACATCGATATAAAGTATTCGATACATCGATATTTTTACATCGATGGTGTTATTACGATACTATCGACAATTATCGATATTTTTGATTCGATATTTTGTGTTTTTAACAAATAGTGATTTGATTTCCTTTTTCCAATTAGTGCATTCGTGAATTGAAAATATAGAAATAAAATTTAAAAAATTTGCTCTGGTTCTGCAAATAGAAAACGCTATGACATTCTAGCTCTGTTTTGGTTCAAAATTTAGAACGGTTATGAGATTGCGCAGAACTGCTTGTGCACAAAAAATAATGGAGGACTTTTCTAATACTAATTCTGAACCGATTCGGAACCAAAAAAACCAAAACAAGCCACCAATCACAAAATTCCAAAATAGTTCCTCCTTCAGAGCAAGAACTGAGAGAACCATTCTAGAACAATCCCAGATTTGTTCCAACAGTTCTAAATAAACCAAAACGATGCCAACACAGTTGGATTACGATTCTGAAAAAACGAAAACGCATTTTATAAAATGCGCATGTGCAGAACGGATCCGAACTAGCTCTGAATGGTTCTGCGTGAAACCAAAACAAAGCTTATGTGATGTGACAGTGACAATTGACAGCATTGATTGACACTGGCACTATTATATTTTGTTCTCGGTATTTCGATATCCTTGCATGTTGTTGTTGGTTGCCTATTGCAGAAAAATAAAACAAAAATAGAATTCATCTGAAACGAAAATATTCTGTTTGGCTGATAATGAGAAGACACGCATACAAAATATTTTAATTTTTATTTCGAATTTTAAATATTTGAATTAATTTCTTTCACATTAATTAGAACCACTGGTTTGAAATAAAAACCATAATTTAATTTACAAACTAAACCAAAAATCGATGTTAAGAAAACATCGATGTTTTTCTATCGATTTTTTCTTAACATCGATATCAGCTTTCGATGTTTTATCGATACCAAAACATCGATGTTTTCAATTAGGCAATCCAACGCCCTGTCCGAATGGCGTCTGGTTGGCAAACAATAAACAAAAAACATATGTTTTTTTTTTTGACTGGATTAAGCCTAGTACTCATAACCGCGAAATTCGCTCTTTTTTGACATTGCTTCGATAATTTGACGTTTGATTCACGCATAAAACGTCAACTTGTCGAAGCAATGTCAAATCTGCGAATTTCGCTGTTATGAGTACTAGGCTTTATCAAATCTAACACTTTTCTGACATCGTTGACATGTAACAACCCGTATTCTAACCTCACAAAAATTTCAAAATGTCGGCTGGTTGGCAAAAGTCACGTGGTTTAGATTCCCTAATTAGATGGGCATCCCTACATTGACTGATTATTGAGGTTAGCTGAAATACGTCAGGGTCAGACCGCGTTCAG